ACATAGCGTTTTTCAAGATGCCTGCTTTTCCTTGTGCTCAGGAAATGACGCCCTCCTCCTCGAAGCGTGGCAAGTGTGAAGTTCGTCAGTTTCCCCCTGTGTCGTCCAGTTTTCTCGGGAATGACTTGAGCGGCGCGGTGGCCGTGACTTATGGACCGAAATGAATACCTGATCAATCGTTATCTCCGAGGAGCCGAGAGCCAAATATATTTCTTGCCGTCGGGAGTGGTGTGCGTTATCGACGCTCTCTCATGGGGGTCACGTGGTCACTCACTCCGACCAATCACAAGAGCGCGCCACAAGGCACCACCCAACTTCCGCTTCTCCCTCCCCCCTTCTCTCTCTCTCTCTCTCTCTCTCTCGCACACACACTGACTCTTTCGTCGATTTTTATGACGCCCGTCGAAACCCGCCCCTGTGACGACACACACCTGACACCGCTTATTTTCGACGAAACGTCGGGGTGTCTCCTTCATCCTCGCACTTCCACTATCTTGCCTCTTTCCTTTCTCTCTCCCTCCCCTTTAGGGGGTAATCTCTGTTCTCTGTCTCTCCCCTCCCTTAGCTCGCCGTCTCTAGAGCCTAGAACAACAGCCATGCGCACCCAGGCCCCGGGGTCTAGCTGGAGACCCCAGTTTCGTCCCTTGATGGCCGTTTTAGAGCCACTCGGGCCCGGCTCGTCCCGATCATCGGAGCGGGGACTCTCAAGGCATATCTGTCAGCAGCGTCGCCTCGCCTCACCCCGCCATGGGCCCGCCACAGGCCCCACCATGCCGGGCCCCGCCACGGGTCCGCCTGACCCAGTACGGCGCCCATAAAGAACACCGCTCCTGCCTGTCTGCTGGCCATGACTGCCCATGACTGTCTGCTCCACGGCGGCCGGAGCGGGGCCCGGGTTGCCCACCGCGACGGCGGGGTGGCCTTGCTTGTCCTCGGGTGCTCCCATGGGTCCACAGGTCCATGAGGTCCACGACTGCCACACCAAAGGCGGGTTCCGTCATCATGTCTTTCCCGTCGTAACCACTGGCCGCTGCTGTGCGGCCTCGCGGGGGATCGAACGCATATCGCTGGATTGAAATAACTTCACTTTCCTTTGCCCGCTTGTGAAACGAAAACAGAAAGAAAATGAAACTCTTTTCGCCTCGCCCTTCTTCGTCCCGATGATTGAAAGTCGGTTGAGTGTCCTCTTGTAGCAGCGCTGCTTGGACGCGTCCCAGCCGCGGCGCGCGTGGCCTGGCCGGCTCCAGCCCGGCTCCAGCCGCTGAGACGGGCGCCATTCATTTTAACCGTCTTGCAGGTTATTCACTTGGCAAACGAGTAATTCAGAGCAAGTAGAGCGAGGGACAGTGGGCGGCGGCCCGGCGCGTACGGCAGGTAGTCGAGAGCAGCAACAAGCCGGCAAACGCAAAGGGCTGCCGACAAAGAATTTTCAAAACACCTACTATAGTTAAGATTATTCACTAGGAACAGAGAGTAGTTGGGTCTCTGCTGCGACCGTCATCGTGTTCGTCATGAGCTGGTGACGTAAAGACCCTGTCTGGTACCCCCACCGGCCTCTCTCCCTCTCTCATATGCTGCGACGCCGACTCCACCAGGTCTCCTATTCCACAATAAATCTTGATTCGGGAGCCTTTATCAGATGGTGCGGCCCGAAAGCCCCCGACCCATGCGAGTTAGTAAATCAGAACAAGCGCGTGATGCATTACTCCCCACCGAAAAAATGCCGCCCCGCCGCCCAGAGTCGAGTGGGATTTCAACACTTTCCCGCCGATGAGTTCATATTTCGGGGCGGAGTGACCCGCCAGTCCTATCGGACCGCGCATCGCGCAAGGCGGCAAATGGAATGGGATTCTTTCGGCCGAGGCGAGGGAGACGTCGCACGCGAAAGGGAAGGAAGGCGCGGTAAATTCGCGGCAAGCTTACGAATGAAGTGAAAGGAGAACTCCGTGCTCAGACGATAGTCACGACGAATGACAATTCCCGTCCTTGCAGAGCAGGTGTCGTACGTGAGGGCATGTCGCCAATTACATCTTCCCTACAAGACACGCAGTACAATCGATTTTGAAGCAGAAACGTTTCAAGTTGCGAGTCATGAACAATAACTGTTAACACCTTAATTAAGGTAAGAAATAACAATTACTTCAGATTTTAATTTAAAACAAAGAGACAAAACATCATGTTAATGTAGGCGAACACGTGCGTGCTTTGCGATCTCAGAGGGAGGCATTCTCCTCAGAGTCAAGCATCCCAGTGAACCCAGCCAGGCTGTCCGCCGTCCGGCCGTCCAAGTGTCCAGTCCGCGCTCTCAAACACCAATTGGCTCGAGCTCAAATCCCTTTCAGCGAGCAGCTTTTCTTAATCACCCTTGGTGTTGCAGAGAGAACCGCCTTTCTTGTCGCCGGCATCATTCCCATCACGTTTTGACAAGGTAGGTGTTAACTGGTGCGCTCTGCTCGAGGAATGCGCGTTTGACACACCATTGTATGGAGACAATGGCTGGAGCCGGGCTCATATCCGGAGGACGTGTCATCGAGTACAGAGTTTAGCATTCCCAATCCGTGCTTTACTGTAAGTCCCTTATCTCCACGCCCCCTTCTCTCTCTCTCTCTCTCTCTCTCTCTCTCTCTCTCTCTCTCTCTCTCTCTCTCTCTCTCTCTCTCTGTCTCTCTCAGATTGCCATTTCGCCAGCCCTCTCTTCCGCCGGCCGCCGCCACCTCCAGCGCTCCCTGTTGTCGGCCCGTGTGTTGCCGCATTAATGGCCCCACTTTAATTGCCACGTTTTATCTGGAATTTCTCCGCGGCGCGCCGGCCAGGCTGGAGGGCCAGGCTGGCCTAGGGCTGTGCGAGTGCGAGCCGCGCTGCCCGCCTCAAGAGTTTGCAGCTGACCGCCCAGCACAGTGGGCTACTACACGCGCATCTAGCTGTGAACTGTACAGTCCGGGCACATTTTCTCCTCCTCCTCGCTGCACCATGAAAGGCGCAGTTTTTTTTGCTCCGTGAATGCAAGTGGGGAAGAAATGAAAGAATCAAACCGGAAACAGAAATGCCGAATCGTAGCCGTAGTCACTTTACAATGCGGCACTGTGAAAAATATTGTCGCAAGTTTACGACATTTCTTGTAATTTTTATTTCACAAAGTATTTTGTAAATTTGCGACAGTACTTTCTTGCTTGTCGATCGATTTCAAGTCGAAGTACTTGTAAATTTACAATTTCAAATTATAATTTCACGGTACACAGTATAGAAAATTTTCTCGTGAACCTACGAATATTTACAAAGGTTGGTCTGGCCGAACCGACCGTTTGGTGGTTACAATTCGGAAGTCTGTTTCCGGTTTGGTTATTAATTTGTTAACACCCCCAACACCACTGCAGAGCTGAAGTAACTTATCTACTGAGTTTTTATAATTCGGAATTATAAAAACTCAAAATCGAATGTTTGAGACAGCAATAGAAAGACAAACATCACACTACAAAACAATTTGATTTTTAAATCGTAGCACACATCAAATGTGGCAGCGGAGAGCTCTGGTGGTAGGGCGATGTCACGGGGAGAAACTCCAGGTCAGCAGTGCACCAGGTGCGAAAGAGCTAGGCTGTCGAGTGTCGGATTAAGAACAGCCGGGCCCCCCCCCCCCCCCACCCCAATCGGTGATCAGCCGGCAGCAGAGCCCCACTTCTATTCAGATGCTGATTTCGCCTTGAATATGGCCGCTCATTCCGGGCTATTAGAACCGTGACGCGCGTTTCCCGATGCATTCCCGATGCATGCACCTTCAAAATATTGGTTTGAGAAACGTCGCAGAAGAAAAGAAAAACACCAAGGACACAAGAAGCTGCGCTGCGTCACGGCCGTTTCTAGGCCAAACGCTCACACAACAGGCGTTATCAGGCGAGTATCTATTCCGATTGCCCTTCTTTCCCTGCTCCCCCTAATGCAGAATGCAAGCGGGTCGGGTCAAACTGCATAACAGGAAAAAAGAGAGGGGTGCAGTGGAACCTTAACGCAAATATTCGCCGTTTGGTCAATTTTTAAATTTAACTTGCCCACTTGCAATCCAAACGTACTTGATTCTCAACACCTCCACCATATTTTTTTAAAACAATACTTTCCGCCACTATCCATACGTTGGCCAAATACAGAATCAAAAGTATTCAATTAAAAAAAAATCTGAAGAATAAAAGAACCTTGGGCAAATGTTGGATGGAATTCACCCACACTCACAGAATGGCAATTTACGTGAAGCAACAAGGGGGTTGGCTGAGGCGCGTGGTCGAGGGGATGGAGATGATACGATACCCATTTCCATACAACAACAGCGATGACAAGGGGGAGCGTTGCCCCTCCGTCGTAAAAAAAATCCCGTCTGCGTTATTCCCAGCAGTGCTTTTGACTCGTGGATTGCGGTAGAGGGAAGCACGAATAAGAAAAAAGTCGCCGAGAAAACTTTTAGTGATTGACTGGAAGTAAACGCGCTGACCTCGCATGCCTCGAGCTTGCCAAGCTGCACCGAAAGCAAAGGGGTGCTCCTCAAACCCGCCCCGACAGACAGGCACTTCTGACGGGGAGCAGCAACCTTGTCGTGCGTTTTGTTGAAACGTGTTAAGTTCCGCGCTGGCAATAAGGGACTCCTTGCGCAGGACTATAAAGAGTGACGGACTGCTTCCTATAACGGGCCGTTATGAGTGGCCCATTGTGTCATTAACGATGCGATAAAACTTCACATTCGGCGAAGGCGCTTTGGCAACTTTCTTGGGGTCGTCGCCGGGGCAGGAGCGGGGATGGAAGCGTGGAAAACGAGGGGAGAGGGACCAAGGGTTGCTCCCCGTGAAGGTGGCTAGGGAAAGCGACTGCGAATGATGGAAATCAGCGCAAACAGAAACTCTATTGGAGGCGGCGACCCGAAATCGGCGATTACAATCCTGGCGACATGGCAATCACCGCCCAGAATAGTTCTTTTCACCCCAGCCGATCGTCGCGGGCAGCGCGACAAAATAACCAACCCATTTACCTCGTGAGGCGCTGAAACTGAGAGGCTGGAGCACCATGGAGAAAAATTATGACGATAACAAAATTAATTCGGTGGTGTCCTTACCGCAAATGATTGCCATGAGGATCTGCTGGGCGAGGAAGAGTGCCCTACCTGCAACAGAAAGGGTTAAAGTTTGGGTTAAAATAAAGAAGATCACGGCGTCTCGTCTCGCGCATTCGATGCATGTTCTCTTCTTGGGTTGCAGAGCTGGGCGGCGGCCGCGGTCATAGCGCCTGCAGGCTAGGCAGATCGGGCGCACCCCCGCAGCCTGGATGCCTACCCAGCGCGCGGCAGACCGTAGCGCCTGCAGGGTAGGCAGGTCGGGCGCACCCCCGCAGCATGGATGCCTACCCAGCGTGCGGCAGACCGTAGCGCCTGCAGGGTAGGCAGGTCGGGCGCACCCCCGCAGCATGGATGCCTACCCAGCGCGCGCCGCCACCACCGCTGCGCGTCGCTGCGCGTCGCTGCGCGGTGCTCCGCCTGTACAGCGTTTATGGGAGCAGTCATTGTCAGTGTGGCGCGTGGCGCCGCGTCCCTGGTATCAGCGGATGCAATAAAAGGCCGCCTAATTCATTAACTGTCCTAATTATCTCGGAGATAAGCCCTCTTTTTATGGCGCGCGCGAGTGGGAGAGGAGGAGCACGGCTACTACTACAAAATGGAAAAAAGAAAAAAAAAAATGTGACCACGGTAAAAGAAAAGTGAGAAACATAAAATTTTTAACAGCACAAAAACCGAAGTCATTAATGGGATTTAAGAAATCCCATCTGAGGCTTCCTCACCTCAACAAAACAGACTGCGTAGCTTGTGTTTGCCGACACATTCATGAATGGGAGTGGGTGTGAATTGGATAGGCGCCCACAGTTAGGGTGAGGAGTGGGAGGGGAGGGGGGCGGACAGGTAAAAGAAGTGTGTGTGTGTGTGTCTGAGTGTGTGTGAGTGAGAGAGAGGGACCCCTGCCGCGGGCCGGGTTCTAACCCCCTACAACTTCTTCATAAAAGGCGACCACACTTTACAACGGCCACTGACCTTCTGGCCCAACACCATCCATACGATGAATGGGCGTCATAACGTACAGATTGGAGGTAAAAAAGAGCGCGCGTGAGCTTAATGGAGCGCCCGCCATGGAACTCTCTGTATCAGAACTCGAAACGCCATACTTCACCGAACAAACCGAACACACGGCCCCCGTGAGACGGCGGCGGCATGGCTATGGGCGAGTCAATATTTGCCCGCTTGATTTCTGTAGATTCGTATCGCGTACCCCGCTCGTTGATAGGGGAGCAGAGCAGTTTTACAGCTTATACGGACACCTGCCTGATAGTGTGAAGTAAAGGTGTCGGAAATAAAATA